TATAAAAAGATAACCAGGTTTAGGTACTTGTAAGACTCTTGCTATGAAGGTGACACCCCTCATGCCCTGCCCAGTGCACTGCAGTGAAAGTGCAGAGGTCCTCTGAGGGACCAGCTTCCCTTAAGAGGCCACATTGAAGATAGTGACACAAATGAACCTTGTGTGGCTGGGGATGTGACTCAGTAGAGTGTTTGCCTAGTGTCTTAGTTTGTTTCTTCATTGCTATGACAAAACACTCTGACCACTACCAACTTGGGGAGGAAAGGGTTTATTCAGCTTACATCTCCCAGGTTGCAGTTCATCAGGGAGCCCAAGGTAGGAACTCAGGGCAGGAACATGGAGGCAGGAGCTGGAACACAGGCCATGGAGGAACGCTGCTTATTGGCTTGCTCCCTTGGCCCCTGCTCAGGCTGCTTTCTTATACAACACAGACCCATCTGCCCAGGGGTGGCACCACCCACAATGGGTTGGGCCCTCCCACATCACTCATCAAGAAGATGCCCTTTAGACATGGCCACAGGCCAGTCCAATAGAGGCAATTCCCCAATTGAGGCTCCCTCAACCCAGGTGTGTCAAGTTGACACTAAAGCATCCGGCACACCCAGCATGCAAGAAACGCTGGCTCCATCCCTAGCACTGCATAAAACTGGGCTTGGTGGCTCATGCCTGTAATTGCAACACTTGAGAAGGTGAGGCAGGAGGATCAAAAGTTCAGGGTCATCTTTGACTATATAGTGAATTCAAAGCCAGCCTGGGCTACAGGAGACCCTGTCTCAAAGAAGGGGTAGGGGGTGACTAGAGAGATGGCTCAGCAGTTAAGAGCACTGGCTGCTCTTGCAGAGGACCCAGATTCAATTCCCAGCACTCACATGGTGGCTAATAACTATCTGTAACTCCAGTTTCAGGGGAATCTGATGCCCTCTTCTGAACTCTGCAGACATTGCATGACATAGGTATACTTACATACATGCAGGCAATACACTCATACACATAAAAATAATAAATGTTAAAAAAAAGGGGGGGCAGTTAAGAGCACATACTACTCTTACAGAGAACCCAAGTTCAGTTTTCAGCACCCACATCAGGCAGCTCATAACCACCTGTAACTCTGGCACCAGGCGATCTGATGCCCTCTTCTGGCCTCTGTAGGCACCAGGTACATGTACCCACACACAGACACACATATATGCATATAATTACAATTATTTTTTTAGAAGCCAGGGGTGGTGGTGCATTCCCTTAATCCCACATTGGGAGATAGAGGCAAGTGGATCTCTATGAGATGGAGGCCAGCATGGTTTATATAGTGAGTTCTAGGCCAGCTGGGGCTACAGGGAAACCCTGTCTCGCAAAACAAAACAAAACAAAAAAAAGTGGACCCTGTGTTCTAGCCTGGTACCCATCTGCCCTATGCCTTCTCTGAATCTTATCACCCCAAAGTCCCTAATCCGAAGTTCAGGTCTCTTGTTTCTGACCTTGCTGCTACCTTTCCCTGAGCCCTGCTGGCCTTTTCCTGCCATGGATTTCTGCAGCTGTCCTACATCCCACCAGAACTTGCAGCCTTGACACACATCAATATGTGCCCCCCCACCCACATCTATCATGATAAGGGGCACCTGCCTATGTTTGCATACATGTACTCCAGCCCTACCACGTACTCTGATCTGCCCCAGCACCCTAGGAAGGGTCTGTGCCTAGCCTCTTCTGTACAGCACCCCTCTTTGTTCCAGGTCTGGGGTATTGGCAATGAGGACCGCACTGTGTACTTCCGGCAGGGCGTCACCCCCAGTGAGCTCAGTGGGAAGACATGGAAGGCCATTGTCATGAGTCGAGAGAGTGACCGGTCATATTCTGGCAGCTCGTCCAGCCTCCTCAGGTGATGCAGGACAGCAGGGCATAGAGGACTTGCGGGGGACAGACTGTGGCCTCATGGGGTGCCCAACCAATGACTTGTAGAGCCACAAGAGCTGGGACCTAGAGCTGAGAGCTGGGTGTGATGGTGCACACCTGTATTATAGCACTTGGGAGGCAGAGGCAGGAGGATCAGGAGTTTAAGGTCATCTTTGGCTACATAATAAGTTCAAGACCAATCTGGGCTATATAAGACCCAGTCTCAGAAACAAAACAAAAAGATACTGTAGTTGGTTGGTATGGTTTAGATCTCTAATCCTAGCACTTGGGATTGCTGTGTGTCGGGAGCCATGCTTTACCTAAGCAGAGGCTAACCTGAGCTACAGAGTGAGTTCAGGTAACCTGGGATATCACCTGTCTGTACAGCAGAGGATAACCTTGAACTCCTGATCCCCCAAATACTGGGATTATAGGTATATACCTATAATCCAGATACTGCTTCTACCTCCCAAATACTGGGATTATAGGAATATACCACCACACTGGGCTTTTTGCAGTGATGAGGGTCAAATCCAGGGCTTTGTGCATGCTAAGCAAGCACTCTACCAACTAGGCTACATCCTTAGCCTAACAACAACAAATACAGCAATTCCAGCTCCCTAACTGGGACTTCCAGCCCTCTGGGAAGCATGGGTGTTTCTGTGTTATACAGGAATAGGCAATAGAAGCTCAGTAAGTTTGAGGGTACATAGTCACAAGGAAGTGAGAGTCTGTCCTATTTTGTCCCCAGTGCTGGCTGCTTTTTCGGGGATGAGGTGAGGGGCAGTGGTACAGAGTCTGCACCCAGTGACACCGATGCCTCCTCAGAAGTCGAGAGACGGTGCCCTGAGCAGCTTCTCCCCGAAGAGTCTTTGGACAATTCCCAGAACCCTAAAGGGAGCTCATCCCCAGACCCTGGGACTGGCAGGACCTCTGAGTGTACCATGGAGAACACCTGCCTGGCTGAGGGCAAAGGGAAGGCTTCTGAGGCCTCCTGCCTTGATGAACGTTCTGGCCACACCTCCACACCAGTGGAGCTGCCCTGGACCAATATTGACCTCAAGGAACCCAAGAAGGTGCCCAGCAACTCAGCTGCTGGCTTGCCTGGAACCACAGGCCTCTCCTCCCTCGGGTTCTTCCCGCTGGGCATGGAGGAGCCATATGGGGCAGATGACCACCCACTGTGGGCCTGGGTGTCTGGAGGTGGATGTGCAGTGGAGGCAGGCTCCATGCTCAAGTGGTTCACTGTCCAGTCGGGTAAGGAGACCCAGTGGGTGTTCATAGGGTATATAGGGTCTAGGTGAGGCCTGAGGCTCACTGTTCTACCTGAAGGCCCTCACAGCCTTGACCAAGTTGTTGGGCCAGTGTGTGGTGTTCATAGACTCAAGGGAGCTATTAGGAGGAGGACTCAGGACACTCTGCAGAGGTTGGAACTTTCTAACAAGAATGGATAGATTGGGCCTGGGGAGATGGTTCAGTGGATAAAGTGGTGTGTGAGATGACCCAAATTCATACCCCCAGAACTTACATAAAAGCCAGGTGTGGCTGTGCATGCTTGTAACCCCACTGCTGGGAGGGCAGAGCAGGAGGATGCCAGGGGCTCACTAGGTGCTACCTAATACGATGAGCTTCAAGTTGGGTGAGAGACCCTGCCTCAAATAAGGCAGAAAAGTGATTGAGGAGATACTTCCTGCTGTCAACCCCTGGCCTCCACATGCACCTTAGTATACCCAGACACACATATACACCGTGCGCGCGCGCGCGCGCGCACACACACACACACACACACACACACACACACACGCACACGGAGGGAGGGAGGAAGGAAGGAAAGAAAGAAACAAACAAACTTAAAAGAACAGGCTGATTCGGGAACAGTCTTAGTTACTTTTCCCATTATTGTGACCAAATACCTGACAAGAAACAACTTAAGGGAGGAGGGCTTATTATGACTCACAGTTTAAGGACACAGTCCATCGTGGTAGGAAGGCATGGCAGCAGGAGTGTGAGGCAGCTGCTCACATGGCATCCAGTCAGGAAGCAGAGAGATGGATGCTGGTGCTCAGCTCACTTTCTCCTTTGTATTCAGTCAGGACCCCAGCCCATGGGACAGTGCTGCCCACGTTCAGGGTGGGTCTTCCCTCCTCAGTTAACTTGATCTAGGAACTCCCTCACAGACATGCCCAGAGGTTTGTCCTAGGTGGTTCTAGATCCTGTCAGGTTGATGGTATTAACTGTCACAGGGATGGGAAGGGAGGAACAGAGAGCATCATTGGCCCCTTGTCGAGCTCTAGTCAGGACAGCACCTGGCCCTGAGGCTCTGGCCTCCTGCAGGCCTGTCCCCCTCGGTACAGATGCTGTCCCTGTCCATCACGCCTGCTCAGACTGCCACCTGGAGAAAGCAGATCTTCCAGCAGCTCACAGAAAGGACCAAGCGGGAGCTAGAGAACTTCAGGCATTATGAACAGGCTGTGGAACAGGTAGGCCCAGCCATCCCTGGTGCATTCTTTTCTATTATTTGTTTGTTTTGAGATAGGGTATACCCCCAGCTAGCCTCAAACTCACTCTAGCCCAGGCTGGCCTCAAATGTGGCATCTGATTGCTTTAGTTTCTGAAGAACTAGGATCACAGGCATGTACCATCACACCCAGCTCTTGCTGGTGATTCAGTGATTGCCCCGCTGTATGCCAGCCCTGACGTAGGAGTAGACAAACATATGCAGACCTCTGTCCATCCATCTCTAATGCTCACCAATGCTTCCAGGCCCCAAGGCAGATCCAAGAATAAGGAATCAAGTTTCCTGAGGGACTATTCTTGGGTCCTCCCCACCTTTGGAGTACCCGCTGGGTCCTGGGAACCCAGAAACCTCAGAGAAAGGTAGACAGGGAGGGGAAGGGCTAATCACATTGTTTTCTCTGTCCCTTTCCTGGAACCCGCAGTGCCCACATGTGACTTTTTGGTGAGATGAGTCATCACTGTCCCAAAGGCTGACCCTGCCTGATGTACCCCACACACTTGGAGGCAGAGCCCCACCCTCAGAGGCTGCAGTCAAGCCAGAAAAAGGAATCACATAGGACACAAGCCTGGCTTTCTTGGAAGGATTTAGCTTAGGCTGTGTCCACAGTGGGCATCTGCACCCAGGCAGCCTGAAAGTTTACATGCCAAACTCTTTGGCCCTTTCTCTGACATTGGGTCGGGTTTGGACTCTCCGTGGGCCTTAGTTTCTCTATAGAGAACATGGGCTAACTATGTGGATCTGTCTGTGAGAAACAGGTGATGCAGCTAGGGCTTTGGCACTACTTAGTGTCCAGTTATGGCACTGGCATCATTGATAGAACTGGGAGGGTGGAGGCTGGGAGCTCCAGCAGGGCAGCAGTGCCTTGACAGAGAGCAAAGGAGAGACCGGGGGCCACAGTAGCTGTAGGGCTCTGGGAGTAGGGAGCTGCCCATGACTGTCCCCACTGCCCTTGGTTGTCCCTGTCACAGTCGGTGTGGGTGAAGACTGGGACCCTGCAGTGGTGGTGTGACTGGAAGCCCCACAAGTGGGTGGACGTCCGTGTGGCCCTGGAGCAGTTCACAGGGCATGATGGGGCTCGTGACAGCATCCTTTTCATCTATTACGTGGTCCACGAGGAGAAGAAGGTATGGGGTGGAAGGCACTGGTTGGGGAAGGAGGATCATCAAGGGACAACTTTCCATAGAGGGGGACACAAGCCCCTAGGTGCTTGCTCTAGAGTCTAGCTGGTTTGCAAAGCCCAGTGTGGGCACTTGTGTGTGTGGCCTGTGCTGTGGTCTCCCTAAGCCACCTCCCCATAACAACAGTAACTTTTTTTTTAGTTTAAACCCAGAACTGTACTACTGAGCTAGCTAACCCTAGCCCTTTTTAAAATTTTTGTTTTGGGGGCTGGCGAGATGGCTCAGCAGTTAAGAGCACTGCTCTTGCAGAGGACCCAGGTTTGATTCCCAGCACCTACACGGTAGGCAAGAACAATCCTTAACTCCAGTTCCAGGGGAATCTGAAGCCCTCTTCTGATGTCTGTGGCATTGCACGACACGGGTGCACTCACATACATGTAAGCAATACACTCATACACATTAAAATAAAAAAAATAAAATTTTTGTTTGGGGCTGGAGCACTGGCTGCTCTTGTAGAGGACCAGGTTTTGAATCCCAGAACCCACATGGTGGCCAACTGTCTGTAATTCCAGTTCTAAGGGATCCGACGCCCTCTTCTGACTTCTATGGGCATTGTATGACAGGGGAGCACTTAGATACGTGTGGAAAGTACACCCATATACAGAAAATAAAAATAATAATTTTTTTTAATTTAATTTTTTTTTTTTGGTCTTTTTGAGACAGGGTCTCCCTGTAGCCCCAGCTGTCCTGGAACTCACTATGTAGATCAGGCTGGCCTTGAACTCACAGGGATCTGCCTGCCTCTGCCCCCAAAGTGCTGGGATTAAAGGCTTGTGCCACCATGCCTGGCAAAATTTAATTATTTTATTTTATTTTGGTCTTTTCTGAGACAGGGCCTCCCTGTAGCCCCAGCTGATCTGGAACTTGCTGTGTAGACTAGGCTGGCCTTGAAATCACAGAGATCCGCCTGCCTCTGCCTCCTGAGTGCTGGGACTAAAGGCGTGTACCACCACGCCTGGCAAATTTAATAATTTTTGTTTTGAGACAGGTTCTCACTAAGTTCCAAGCCTGACTTGGAACTTACATGTAGATGAGGCTGGCCTTGAACTCACCATCCTCCTATTTTAGCCTCCCCAGTGCTGGGATTATAAGTTTGAGCCATACCTGGCCAGGCTCTAACCTTGAAGATGAGGCGGGGCAGGGGGTGGTTAGAGAGATGGCTCAGTGGTTTAGAGCACTTGCTGCTCTTGCAGAGGACTTGGGTTCAGTTCCCAGCACCCACATGGCAGTTAACAGCCACCTGTAACTCCAGTTGCAGGGGATCCGATGCCCTGTTCTAGTCTCTGTGGGCACTATATGGAGACACAGGTACACTTACACAAGCACACAAAACACTCATTCATACAAAATATAAGTAAATAAAATTTTTTAAAAAGATGAGATTAGGATGAATCCTATTCCCAACTGTTGTCATTCAACCTTCAAAAGCATTTTTTGTGGGGTGATAGGCAGTGGGGAGAGACAAGATCTCATGTTGCCCAGGCTGGTTTTGAACTCACTCTATAGCTGAGGGTGATCTTGAACTTCTGGTCTCCTGCCTCCACCTCCCAAGTGCTGGGATCACAGATGTGCACCACCATGCCTGGTTTATATAGTGCTGGGGATGGAGCCCAGATAAGCATTCTAACAACTGAGCCACAGCCACAGCCCCCAACACATTTGTTCAAGTATGGCTCAGTCATTTGGGTCACCAGGCCCAAATGAGGTCTAGAAGGAGGGGTGACCTGTCACTGTCACCACAGTGGAGAGCCATTACCCCAAGGACACTTTGTTTAGAGTGACAGCCCTACGGTTCACCCCTCTCGAAACAGTACTTGCACGTGTTCCTGAATGAGGTGACAGTGCTGGTCCCTGTGCTCAACGAAGCCAAGCACTCCTTTGCCCTCTACACCCCCGAGAGGACACGGCAGAGGTGGCCTGTGCGCCTGGCCGCCACCACTGAGCAAGACATGAATGACTGGGTGAGTGAGCAGGGGCCCGCAAGGGCTGAGTGAGAAGGGGTCACCCAGACCTCTGTGTGCCCAGCAGTGACCAGTTGTGTATCCACTCCAGCTTGCCCTACTCAGCCTGTCCTGCTGTGAGAGCCGGAAGGTCCACGGCCGCCCATCTCCACAGGCCATCTGGTCTGTTACCTGCAAGGGCGACATCTTCGTGAGTGAGCCCAGCCCGGACCTGGAGGCCCGTGAGCACTTGTTGCCATGTGACCAGATGTGAGTGGGCCGTGCCCTTAGATGGGCCTGGTGCTTGGCCTCTCCCCTCCCCTCATTACCCAGAGCTTAGGTTTCCAGAAGGGGCTCCCCCAGCGGGATCTGAGACCACACCAAGCTTAAGGATGCTTGGCTGCTTTCCTTGGCCTGTTCAAGGCTGGACTTAGAGGTCAGGGTACCCACCAAGCTGCTATGGAGTAGCCTGGGGTACTTTGAGCATGGTGAATGGGCTCTGGTGAGGCTTTAGTCCTCTCAGCAGACCTGGCTCCAGACCTGGGTCCTAGTCCTTCCCAGTTCCTTCTGAGTCACTGGAGGGTGGGGGCCCAGCAGAAGAGAGGGAGTAGCTTGGGGTGTGTTTTAAGGATGGAATTGGTAGGTTGGGAGGAGGCAGGCTCACAGGAAGGTGAGGGTGGGCCCCCATTCCCTTTAGACATGGGGGAGACAGGACCAGGAGTTGCTCTGCTGGGACATTTAAAGCCACAAGAGGGCCCTGCATAGCTCAGTTGGTGGAGCATTTGCCTAGCATGCAGGAAACCCTGGATTCTATCCCCAGCACTGGGTGGTGTGGTGGTGCATGCCTGTCATCCTAGCACTTGGGAGGTGGAGTCCAGAGGATCTGAAGTTTAAGGTCATCCTTAACTACATAGTGATTTTGAGACCAGTCTGGAATACATGAGACTCTGTCTAGAAAAAGAAGTCACAGAGGGAATGGGAACCTGAAGGAACCAGTAAGAGCAAAGATTCAAGGAGGAAGAGGATAAGTGAGGAGTTCTGTGATGACCTGGGCTCTTACCAGTGATCACAAACAGGCCCAGGAATCCTAGACCTCACTGGGTAGCCATGCGTGCTCAGTGCCTCCTGGTGGAAGAGGCAGGGCCTTTGGGAGCCAACCCAGCCTCCTGCATAGCCCTCAGATGACTTGTCAGCCAGCTGGCCACACTGTTCCTCACACAGGATTAGATAGCACTCTCCCTGCTCTCTGCCATGACATTTAAGCCTGGCTTCACCCAGGAAGTTGTGATTTCCAAGCTCTGGGAGGGAGGCAGTGTGGCTCAGGGATGAGGAGGACAGGCTCTTGAGGATTTCCTGCCTCTTGTGTGCCACTTTGTACCCTCTTCAGCACTAATTCAAACAGGAATGATGTGAGTTATTAGTTCTACTGGCTTGAAAGCCCCAGACTTGACCAGTTTCTTTGCCCACAGGAAGTCTAAGAAAAAGACTGCAGGGTAGGTGAGAGGTTGGATAGCTGGGCTGAGGCACGTTTCCTGCCCTCCTTTCAGGTTCTGGCGGCAGATGGGAGGCCACCTGAGGATCATAGAGGCCAACAGCCGTGGTGTGGTGTGGGGCATCGGCTACGACCACACAGCCTGGGTATACACAGGTGGCTATGGTGGAGGCTGCTTCCAAGGTGAGGGTAGCCCAGAGCACCTGAGGCTGGCAAGACCAGCTCTCAGAACCTTCCGGGCATACCCTATCCTAATCCCCATCTGGCTACCCTTCTCAGTGCCAGGGCTACTGTCCTGGTCCTGACACTAAGCTAACAGCTGGCTGACAGGTGACCTTAACCAGTGCCAGCCTCTACAGAGGACAGTCCCGGGCCACGGGGCATAAGAATCCAGAGAGTAGACCTAGCTTCTGAGATGCTGTCTGGGATCCCGCCAACAGAGCAGAGGACCTTGAAGATTCTAGAATGGCAGTTACCAGGGTCCTCCAGTGAGTTCGGAGATGAGGCTACCCTAAGGTACATTGAGGCAACCCAGTCCCCTCATTCCAGCTCTTTCAGGGCAAGTGAGCCCCTCAACCTCCCACAAGACCCTTAAGGTTAGGGGGAAAAGTAGAGGCAAAAGCAAATATAAAATAAAATATTTCAAGCCATAGCCCCCCGTACTCCATAGTAGAGAATCAGCTGACCCTGTCGAGCTTGTGGTCCACTAAGACCACAGGAACCCACAACCTTATAGACTGAATGGCCTCCCTTACTCTAAGGCAGGAATTAACTTGGTCCCTGATTTGCCTTTAAGTATGCTCAGACTCAGAGAAGTCATGTGCTTTACTAATAAGGTCTGGTGTTGGGTACTGGGTAACAAAGATAGTAGGGCAGTAAGATGTCCCCAAGAATGGGGGTGGGCATGGTGACACACACCTTTAATCTCAGCACTCAGGAGGCAGAGGCAGGTGATCTCTGAATTTGAAGCCAGCCTGGTTTCCATAGTGAATTCCAGGCCAGCCAGGGCTACATGGTAAGACCCTGTCCCTGCTTCCAGAAAAAAAAAGGTGGTATCCATAGGAAGTTTAGTGTATAGTAGGTCCTTTTAGAGGCTGTACAATCCCAGAGGTGAGAAACCCAAGCTAAAATAGCCCCCTTGGAGATCACCTAACCATCTTAGCTGCCCTGGCTCCTCTCTGTCCTCCCTGCCTGTTTTCTACCGGGCCAAGGTGCTTCAGACAGAAAGGCCAAGTTCCTAGCAGGCCTCAGGGCCAACATGGCCTGGGTCCTGGCAGCCTCCTCTCCCCACAGGCCTGTCCAGCAGCACCAGTAACATTTACCCACAGTCAGATGTGAAGAGTGTCTACATCTATGAGAACCAGCGCTGGAACCCCGTCACAGGCTACACCAGCAGGTGAGTGGAACAGGTGCCCTTCAGTGTGCTGCCTGGCCCAGGCCACAGTCCTGACAGAAACTGGATAGCATTTAGCATAGCCTGAAGCTGGTCAGTCAGGCCCCCAGTGTGGAACTAACCAGATCTTGTTTGATTATTTGTTGTGTGTGTGTGTGTGTGTGTGTGTACATATTCATGGGGTGTGCACTTGTTTGCACAGACGCTTGTTCATGTGTGTGCATATGCATATGGAGGCCAAAGATCAACCTCAGGTGTCATCCTCTGCCTCCCTTGGTGCTAGGATTCCAAGCGCACATCACCCACACCCAGCTTTTTTATATGGGTCCTGGGGATTGAACTTGAATCCTCGTGCTTGCATGGCAAGCACTTTATCAATTGAACCATCTCCCCAGACCCTTCTTTCTTTTTAACCTTTATTTTATATTAGTGTGTGTAGGGAGGGAACATGCACGTGTGGTGGTCAGAGGACAACTTTGTGGAGTCAGTTCTCTCTTTCCACCTTCACATAGTTTCCAGGGATTGAACTCAGGTTGTCAGGCTTGTGTAGCAAGCTCCTTTATTGCCCAAGCCATTTTGCCAGCCTCTCTTCCCCCTCCTGCTTTTCTGTTTTGTTTTGTTTTGCTTTGTTTTGTTTTGTTTTGTTTCATTTTGTTTTGTTGAGACAGGATCTCCCTGTAGTCCCAGCTGGCCTAGAACTCAGTATCTGCCTGCCTCTGCCTCCCTAGTGCTGGGATCAAAGGCATGTGCCACCACAATCAGCTCAGCAGTTTTTCCCTTTAAAATACATCATTTAGGCTGGGTAGAGGCAGGGGACTCTGTGAGTTCGAGGCCAGCCTGTTCTACATAGCGAGTTACAGGCCAGCTGGGGCTACATAAATAAATAAATAGATAAATAAATAAATAAATAAATAAATAAATAAATAATAAGAAACCAGTTAGTTTTTTTGACACAGGGCTCACTGTGCAACCCAAGCTTGCCTAGAGCTGGTGATCCTCCTGCCTCAAGCCTTCTCACTATACCAACCTAATGAGCCCTTTAAAAATTTTTATGTGTGTGTATTTTGCCTGCATGTATCTGAATGCACCATGTGTGTGCAGTGCTCACAGAGGCCAGAGAGGGTGTCAGGTCTCCTGGAACTGAAGTTAGCTGCCATGTGGGTACTGGAAACTGAATCTGGGTTCTCTGCAAGAGCAGCCAGTGCTCATAACCTCTGAGCCATCTCTCCAGTCCCTAGTCAGTCCTTTCGTTTTTTTCTTTTTCTTTTTCTTTTTTTTTTTTTCGGTTTTGATTTTTAAAAATTTTTAGTTGAGCTTTTATACATTTCATACAACAGTTCTTAATCAAATGTGGACCCCCTCCCCCATCTATAACCCCCTTCCTCCACCCCCCACTGGACCTCATGTACTTTGCTATTCATGTTAAGTCCCATCCAGTCAAGCATTTGTACCCAGATGTCCTTCAGTGCAAATTCATTCACTGGAGTCTAGTCAGCCTATCTAGAGATCGTTGGTAAGGCCTACTCTAGTACTTCACCCAGTAGTGATCAGTCTCCAATAGTTCCCAGACTAGGGCCAACCCGCCACCCATTTCCCTTGTTCCACTCTTGGCCCTTGTCTGATTGAGTTGTGCTCGATGCCACCATTGCCATAAGTTCACATGTGCAAGCTTCCAGTGACCTGAAAGCCTCTGCTTCCCTGTGTTCATGGACCAACCCTGACTCTTACAATCTATCTGCCCCGTCTTGTGCAATGTTCACTGAGAGTTTTGATATAGGAGTCCTGGCCAGGGACACACACTGCTATTCTTTTTTTTTTTTTTTTTTTTTGGTCTTTTTGAGACAGGGTCTCCCTGTAGCCTTTTAAAAGTTGGCCAGTTATGGCCTTTTGTGTGCATCACAGTCTGTTTGTTGTATAAGGAGGCCTCACTGGTGAGAGTTGAGAGGCGCACTAGTTTTCTCTCTACGCTCCCCCGCCCCCACCATGTTCCGCATCAGTCCTTTCTTAAAGAATTCTAGATAGCCACTCCAGCCAGGGGTGAGGGATGGTAGGCATGGTGAATCTTCATTGTCTCCAAGATCACATCTGGGACAATGGCAGATAGTTAGAACCTTCCTCAGTTTATCATAGGTAGCTTTGTGAGACAAGATGAGGTAGTTGAACTAACCTTCAGTTTTGCTTCTGGGCTACTTTGGGCCTTGCCCCCAGATGCATTCACTGGAACTTTGTCTCTCTTAACTGGTGTTCTCAGCATCTTTTTCCTTGGGTGGCATCACGAAGCCTAGATATTGGTGACCACTTGCAGCCTTGCCGGGATGTCTGTCTTTAAGATTTTAAGTATCCAGGGTTATCTCATTATATAGTCAAGGGTAACATTGAATTTCTGATCCTCCTGCCTTCATTGACCTGGAGCTTACCAATCAGGCTAGGCTAGCTAACCAGCAAGTCCTGAGGATCCTCCTGTCTCCACCTCCTGGCACTGGGATGCAAACACATGCCACCATACTGTTTTTTTTTTCCTTACGTGGATTCTGGGGATCAAATTCAGGTCCTCATGCTTGCAAAGCAAACGCTACCAATTGCCACATCTCCCACTAGCCCTAAATTTCTCCTTTTTATTAAGACATCAGGCCGGGCGTGGTGGCGCATGCCTTTAATCCCAGCACTCGGGAGGCAGGGGCAGGCGGATCTCTGTGAGTTCAAGGCCAGCCTGGCCTACATAGTGAGTTCCAGGACAGCTGGGGCTACAGGGAGACCCTGTCTCAAAAAGACCAAAAAACAAAAAAAAAAGACATCAGTCGTATTGGATTAATGTTCACCCTAATGACTTCATCTTATCTTGACCCTGTGTTAATGAGATTTTTTTTTTTTTTTTTTACTATTGTGGCAGTGTATCTGAAAGAAACAAGGAAAGAAAAATTGGACCCATGAGTTGGCCAGGACCCACATGGTGGAAGGAGAGAACCAACTCCCACAAGTAGCCCTCTGACCTCTATACATGCTATGGCATGTGCGCGCACACACACACACACACACACACACACACACACAAAATCATAATTTTTAAAAAAGGAAAGAAAGATGTGTTTCGCTCATGCTCAGAGATATACTCCATGGTGAACTGGTCGCATTGTATCTGGGCCTGTGATGAGGCAGAGTGTTATGGTGTAAGAACGTGGAGAAGCTACTCACCTCATGACAGTCAGAAGTAGGAAGTGGCCAAGGCAAGATAAAACCAAAAAGACACACTCCCTGTGACCTACTTCCTCCAACCAGGCCCCACCTGCCACCTCCTTCAACCCCAGGAATCTGTTTGGATGCTGAGTCCATGAACAGATTCAGTTAGAGCCCTCAGAACACAGTAAACCCTGGAAACACCTTCACAAAGAAGCATACAGAAGTGTGCTTTGAAAATCTCTTATGTATCTGTCAAGCTAAGCAAGTTGACAGGATAGATGAACTGTCACAACCTTTTTTTTTTTTTTTTTTTTTCCGTCAAACGCCACATTCATGGTTACTGGCGAGAGGGGCTTTAGCATCTTTGGTTGGGAAGCATTCATCTCCTAACATGGGGGAAAGAGAGACATTTCCCAGATCATACAGCCAGCCATGGCCTTGTGGGATGGCTTAGTTGTTTTAGCTCAGGTACTGTAGTGATGTGGGTTGTTTCTAGTTGGTTTCAATTTGGTTTTGCCCATCAACCCTGGTGAGTGAGTGTGACTGAAGGTGACTTGTTAAGGCAGTTCCATCGGGTCCCTAGCAGAAATGAGGAGCAAACCTCTTACCAGGAGTGACTGGACAGGGGGGCTTGTTCTGAGCCCTCTCTCATCACCGCATGTCTGTCATCCTGCTACAGGGGTCTGCCTACTGACCGGTACATGTGGAGTGATGCCACGGGGTTGCAGGAATGCACTAAGGCCAGCACAAAGCCCCCATCCCTACAGTGGGCCTGGGTGAGTCCCAGGGTGCCTATGTCTACATGAGTAGGGTCTGCCTATACCAGACCCCGTGCCCCAGGTTTGTACTGGTCTCTGGGTTTAGGGGATCCCATTCACACTGACTCACTCTTTCCCAGGTTTCTGACTGGTATGTGGACTTCAGTGTTCCCGGAGGCACCGACCAGGAGGGGTGGCAGTATGCCAGCGACTTCCCTGCGTGAGCATCTTTCTATGCCCTGAGGCTCTCGGTTGAGTTCTACCCAGACTCCTGCATAGCTCCAGTGCTTGCATTTCTAACCTGGCTTAGTAGTTGAACCCACCCCACCATTCTGCCACCTCACTGACTTCAGGATTAGGGCTTTGGGCCAAGTCCTGAATGACATGAGGTAGGGTGGCACTGTGGAACGGGTGGCATAAGCCCCTCAGAGTGACGCAGGAGCCATCCTTCGAGGCAAGTGAGTTAATGGAAAAGTAGGTGATAAATCCAGGTTGGGAGCTGGTTCAGTTGGTGAAGTGCTTGCTTGCCTCATAAGCATGAGACCTGAGTTTGACCCCCATAGACCACCCCCATACCTGCAATCCCAGCACTCTGAGGCAGAGATAGAAAGATCCCTAGGGCTCACTGGCCATCCAGGCTACCCTACTTGGCAAGTTCCTAGCCAGAAGTATAGGATGAGATTCCTATATGGAACCTCACCCACCCATGGCTCAGGGACCATTGTGGAAAAGGGGCAGAAAGATTGTAAGAGCGAGGGCTGCTCATGAACACAGGGAGATAGAGGCTTCCAGGCCACCGGAGGCTTGCTCATGTGAACCTGTGGCAGTGGTGGTGTTGAGCACAGGACCCATGTCAGCTCAATTAAACAAGGGCCCAAAGTGGAGGTGAGAAATAGGTGGCGGGCCAGCACTAGATTGAGGACTATTTGAGACTGATTGCTTCTGGGTGAGGAGAGTATGACTTATATACAACCACTGGATGGTCTGACTAGACTCCAGTGGATGCATTTACACTGAAGGACATTTGGGTACAAACACCTGAATGAATAGGACTTAGCATGGGGTTAAGTGGGGGGATGGGGGAGGCATGAATGAGGGAGGGGGGTCTGGATTTGATTGGGAAACGTATAAAATTTTAAAGCTCAATAAAAAAAAAAAGGTAGACAGTGCAGAAGGAACAACAGCCAAGATTGTCCTCTGGCTTCCACACTCACACTTGTACATACACAAACACACACACACACACAGATGGCAAGTCAGAAAGCTGAGCAGGCTCTTTTCACACTGTTAAGGGCCTGTGAGACAGGTTCAGGCCTCTCACAATCAGAAGGAGACTGAGCCTGAGATGCCGAAGCAGAGCCCTAGCTCAGTGACTGCTGAGCTGACCTGGGTTTGGCCTGGCCACTCCCTCAGGTCTCAGTGAGGCTTCTCAGAGTGACCCTCAGGCCCTCAACCAGACTGAGGGCTCCTGTTCCCCAGACAGGCTCCCATGGTGCCTGGAGAGGGGAAAGGCCATGGGCCACTTAGTCTGACATTCTAGACAGGAGCTGCCATGGCTAAGCCTGAGGAGGTCCTAGGCTCAGTCTCCTTCCAACTGTGAGAGGCCTGAACCTGGCTCACAGGCCCTCAACACTGACAAGAACCTGCCCAGCTTTTGACT